CGTTAGAACATGCATAGATGCTCCCGTCATATAGCGTATACAGATATATTATAAATACATCACTCGATTATTGCCTTGGGCAGATTACGAGTTAAACAGGAGAGAAAAGAGTTGTCACAGAGAGAGAGGGAGTGGGGGGAGATCACACTCAGGTCGAGTGAAAATGCACTCGAAGCGGCAGTGAAACTGCCGCCACTCGAAATCAAGAGCGACTGCCCAGCTGAAACTTACTGTAGATTCTCTCCAGCTGTAAAGGTGAATATCGATCAGAGCGAATTTGTCTCTGTGGCGGCGCGAAGCATGTTCGATTCATTCCTCAATTCCGGACAAAAATATTCGTTCGACGATTTAAAGTGAAGGTTCGATCAAAATGAAACGTCGCTCGAATTCGAGTTAAGGTAAACGTCCCAATATCCGACCACTTTGGAAAAAAATATTTACTATTTATCTTAACAATAACGAATGAAAGCAATAATTATTAAAAAGAAAACTCCGCCATTTGACGATCGGTTGGAGAAAAAATATACCCAATTTGATACTTTTGTATTAAAGTAAAAATTAATTAAATAAGTATGCACTTACGGTCTGGCAAAATAATGGTCAATAATAAATTCATCGAGAGGTAAGGTTTATATTTATGTTACTTCTCGTTACACACATACTAATTTTCTAATTGCGGTCAGACACTCGGCCTCAGACTAATTATATCCGAATATCGAGCCGTAATCTGTTTCAACTGTCCAGTCACTGGTACATTAACGCGCTTCGCTACTTGCGTAAATATTTCGTTAATGATAGATAGAATATATACATTGGTCTAAATCATTTTTCTCTACTTAAGTTTCGAACAAATGCAAATACTTATATCAAAACCATTCTTAATATTATATATTGTATTTTTTGTGACGACCTACGCTTAAACGTCCGGTTAGAAGGACATTTACCTTACTTGGCTGACGCTCTACTTTCCAAGCGGAGCTTCACTCGAAGAGATTTAGGAAAAAAAATAGGCAGAGAGAAAGAGAGAGAGAGAGAATAAAACAAAATAGAATCTACTAATTGTAGTCTGCTAGCGCATAGGTTAAGCTCTCTAGGACAATGCCCTGTCAGAGGAAAGGTACAATTACAAAGCCAAAATGCGGGCGCGTCAAATTAGACCTCGGAGTAATCACTCGGCACGTCCAAAGTTCTTCACGGCGAAAACTCACTCGCTCGCTCGAAACGAAAAGAAAAACGCACTGTCGAGGCCGGTGTCCTTCCCCAACAAGATGAAGCGCGTCGGCTCCCACAGTCCAGTTCCAAGCAAGAATATTCAATCGACTGTTGAGAATAGGAGAGCCAGTGAGTCACTCGAACTCGAGTGAGTGACTCGGCCGAGCCTTCACCCTTCGAGTGAAATTCCATGGCGGGAAACCTACGACGAGTCCGCGCTAAGAAATGCCACGAGGAAGAGGCGCTCGTTCATTACGACTTCGCGAGAAAGAGAGAGGGAGAGAGGGACGCGGGGCTCCTCGACCTTTCACGATTACGACATGCATCCGCATTCGTCCTGCGCGTCGGCCGCTCTCTATGACGAATGTCTTTTGAGAATCATCGCGGACCGCTTGCATTGTCGCCGCGCGCGCTGCTCGACGCTCACCGTCGTCGTCGTCGTCGTCGTCGTCGTCGTCGTCGTCGGACGAGTTCCCGGCGCGGCGGCCCGGCGTTCCGATGACGAAGACGCGAGGCTCGAGGAATGGAAGGATCCTGCGAGAGGAGCCTGTGGGGACGCTCCGTATCATAGACCAGGCATACTCGGCCCCCCGCTGCGAGGGGGTGTGGCAGCGCTGCAACCCTCGGGATCCCGCGGTCATTCCCGGGCCTTTCGTCGGCGGCCTTTAAGGCTCCGTGCACAACGTGAACGCGGCCGAGATTACACCGAAAGAGAGAGAGAGAGAGAGAGAGAGAGAGAGAGAGAGAGAGAGAGAGAGAGAGAGAGAATCCGGCCGTTACGGCCCGCCCGCTGTAATGGGATAAAAATAACCGTGTTTATATAGGATTACGAAGCGATCATCTTCTCCGTTTCGCGTCGGCTCTCCGGATAAAGCCACGAGGAGAGCAGGGGTCGATTTTTCAACTCCTCTCTCTCTCCCTCTCTCTCTCTCTCTCTCTCTCTCTCTCTCTCTCTCTCTGCCTCACCGCGCTATTGTCTACGGAGACTCTTATTTATCGATCAAGAGCCGTGTGACAGGAGGATACGGGCGGACGAAGGGCGGAAGGAGGGCTGGACACGCGCGCGACGACATCGCGTTACCGTATTGTCGGGATCAGATATGAGATTGTCGGTAATTATATACATAACGAGCGCACAAGCAAGGGTCGTAAATAGGCGACGGCGACGACGACGACGACGACAGCAGTACGAATAGAAACATGTGCGCAGTCTCTCTCTCTCTCTCTCTCTCTCTCTCTCTCTCTCTCTCTCTCTCTCTCTCTCTTCACCTCGCGCATTTAAATTCGTTTAATTAATATTTCAACGCATGTATAGTCGCGCAGCGCGACGACGATCGCGTCGAGTCGACGGCGACACACGCGGGGACAAATAAATTTCTTATATCGCGATATCGCCGCGGGGGCTGTTCACCCCGCTATAGTCGTTGCGCGCGCGCTCTCGAGTGTTCTCATAATCTATTTTTAATATTCAATTCTTGCCGGAGAGCTCTCTCTTGAAATATCGCCGAGCGAATCCTGAGCGGAGACGGCTGCGATGCTTTTGCGTATAATGAACACCGATATAGATCGCGAATCGAGAAAGAGAGAAAGAGGGGGGGAGGGGGGAGAGGAAAAGAGCAATGTACCCCGGGGAAAGAGAAGGTTGCGCAAGAGGTATTCAAGATTCAACGAGAGAAGAGCGCACTGCCGCGGAATTATCGATCGTCCAATTAGAGCGCGCGCGCACGGAGCGAGAGGAGGGGGGGGGGAAGATATTCTCGATACACCGCTCGATAATGGTGACATTTAAAATTAACGGCGGGAGGGCGGGGGGGGCTCATGTTCTTCGCGGAGGCCGCTTTTCGAAGAAGCCGGCCTTCCGGGATTCAACCCCCGCTTTGCTCGCATGCACCACCCGCAGCCCCCTTCGACGGCCGCGGCTGCGGGGCTGCAGGAGGGCGAGACGGAGGAGGTTATCGACGCCGGGTGTATGTTTGTTCTTCGTGTAACGCGCGCGTTAACGAGACACACCGCGAAACTTGGATATTAAACATCGGGCGGATTATTTGATTAGAGTTTCGCAAATCCGCTCCGTCGGATTCCCCCCCCCCCCGGCCCCGTCCCGCTCGCCCAGGGGTTGTGCGGCGTGTCGCGCTTTTCCTTTCTCTCTGGTTCCATCTGCCAATGTCGCTCGTCTCGTTGCTCTCTGTCTTTTCGCCGAGCCGTGCGATCGACGGTGGTCGCGTGAGGGCCGGAGGGGTAAGAGGGGCGCAGCGGGAGAGGGGGACGGCTCGGGAGCGAGCGGCGAACGCATGGAAATGAACGTTATTAAATTGTTCTACCGTGACGCCGAATCCACCCGCAGGCATAAATTGACACCGACAATGTCGAGTTAGGCGCGTTCGGTTTTTGGAGGCGGGGGTGGCGGGCGCGCGAGGGCGGGGGGCCCGTGTCAGAGATTGGTCCAGGTGAAACTAAACTGCGCGCGTACTCGCCGCCACCCCCGACCGGCCGACCCTGCTGCCCGCACCCCTTTCCCACGGCTCGCTCGGCCGCCGCGATTCCGCGAGTAAACGCGTGCAATTCCGCGACGGGGGTTAAACTTGTGTTATTAATGGATTTGTTTGCGGTGCCCATCTCGACGGTCAATATTTATTTATCGGGACCGGGTGTGCGCGCTGTGCGCGCGACAGGTACGCTCACATCGACGTTGGGCCGAGCGAACCGGCGGACAGCGGCGGAGGAGGAAGAGGAGAAGGAGGGGGGCCCGATCACAGGGAGAGCGGACGGAAAGGAGAACGACGCGCGCGGGCCACCGTAAATAAATGACCGGCCGTATTTATTTGGTGAAGAAACAAATATATGCGCCGGCCGCCGCGAAACGCGGATTCCACGCCCGACCTGAGCCGGCTCGCGCTGTCAAAGGCAGAAGTATGGCTCCGCGCGGAACTCGCCGGCGTGTTACTCCGCCCTCTTACCGGACTCGCTCGCTGTTTCTTCGACCCTCGATTCGACGAAAACGCGAAAGCGCGCGATCTCTCTCTCTCTCTCTCTCTCTCTCTCGCTACCAGGCCCAGCCGGATTTTTGCCGGCGCGGAATTACACCAGCCACCGGTATTAATCATTCGCGAGCTCTTACATTCCTAACGGCGACCGCCGAACGCGCGCGAGAGGCCGCTCCGCGCGAGAGTTCGCCCCCGCCCGGGCGGACTCCCCCGAGTAATCGGGGAACAAGCGGCCTGGACAAATATTCCGCCACGAGGCCGCTGCCAGTGTACACGACAGCCTGGCTGCGGATGAATATTTAACAAAGTCTGCGGCCATCTCTCTGTACACGGATCGCCCGCCGCCGTTGCTATTGCTGTTGCTGTCGCCGCGCCGCCGACCCGCGGCGTCCGCGCGTGCAGCAACGACTGCGGGAACAGCAACCACGCGCTCTCCCACCAGCCTGCCTGCCTCTCTTAGCTGCCTCTCTCCGCCTCCGCCGGCGCACCGACGCACACATCAACTGTCTCTCTCTCTCTCTCTGTCTCTCTCTGTCTCTCTCTCTCACACACACGCTCACGCACACCGTCGAGAGGCATCGGCCTCCGCCGTTACCACCACCATCACTACCATCGCTACTACCACCACCACCACCACCACCACCACCGCCACCATCACCACCACCACTACCACCACCGCCGCCGCCGATACCACTACCATCGCAGCGACCGCCGTTGCTGCTTCCACCACCGCCAGCAACATCCACCACCACCACCACCAGCCATGGTCGCCCAGCACCGGCGCCCAAGAGGCGAAGGGCCTCCAGGTTTCTGCGCTACGAGTCAGTTGGCCGACACGAGCCGCGCGTGCTGGGGCTTCTGGTGTTTACTCGCTGTCCGCTTCTCTGTCTGCCGACGGACGCTGATCCGGAGTCGTCCTCGCGCGCGCGACACTCGGGACTCGCCGCGGAGACTCGCGCACGCGGAGGGTGACGGAGACGGGCAGCCGTGGGGGTTCCTCTCTCGCGAGCGCGTCGCGTCTGTCCGAGGGGGAGGCTTCGATTCTTCCGCGGACTCGCGGCCTGACGGAGGGATCCTGCTGTGCCCGCCGTTTCGTCGTCGGGCTTCTCGCAGAAGAGAGAGAGAGAGAGAGCTTTTCTCTTCCTCTCCCTCGAGGAGAGCGGGGAATAATAATCGGCTGGACGAGGCGAGTCGTCGTCGTCGAAGACGAAGAGACGTCCGATGGTCGCGACACGGTTGAGGGAATGACGTTACGACGCGCGGTGTAACGAACTTGCGAGGATGATAACGCCGCCAGTGTCAGTGCAGTGGGGTTAAAGTGCCAGCCGGTTTATGGATAACCACCGAGCGCCGTCGCTCACCGGATCCACGAGTAAGTGATATACCGAGCGACCCGGCTTGCGTAACACACAGCTTGTGAGAGCCACGCGTGTCCTCCTGCGCTCGTCCACCGGGAAGCGTCCACCGATAGCGTGTGAGAAAGAAGTCCTAAAGGCTGTTTTACGCGGCGCTGCTTTTACTCCCTTGGAGCAGGCTCCTTCGAAACTTCCTCCGGACGCTCGAGTTTTCAGCCTGATCTACAAAATATACCTGCTGCTACCTGTTTCCTATATATACTTCATCTTTTTCTATCTTGAGGCATAAGGTTGAAGCGAAAAAGAGACGAGGCAAAGAGCAGCACATCGTAGGTAAGGCTTTCTTTACTCGCCAGCGGTCTGGCGGTCGCAGTGACAGAGAGCTGAGTGTGTCCAAATTCCAGCGTGTGGAGGAAGTTTCCAGCAGCGAATTCACATTGGAATTTAAAGGCTTTGAAGGCTTGCTGAGAGCGAATAAAAGCAGCGCCGTTTAAGGTAATTTTAAGGACGCGTGGTTACACAGTGCGCTGCTTTTATTCCCTTGGAGCGAGCTTCTTAGTCCGCCGGCGAATTCGCCGGTAAAAGCTGGTCCCAGACAATGGACTTTTACTCTTCAGCATCTGAAATTTAGAAGACGCGGCGTCTAGTGGTCGCTGCGACCGCAAAGCTGGATATGTTCAACTTTGACCACTCCGCCGCGCCTTTTAAACCTCAGACGCCGGGCGAATAAAAATCGTCGAGCGTCCAAGGAGAAACTTTTAGCAGCGGCTTCTAGATTTCAGACGCTGCTCAGGGCGAATAAAATCACCCTTTGCGCGCACCTTCGCGGCGCGATTACATCCGCCTCTCTTTTTCCCTCTCGCGCACGCCCATAAACAGCGCGACGTCGTTTTCAGACCAGACCCGCCGAGCGAGGCGAGGGCGATCGTCGCGTTGAGATTCGCGCGCGGCGGCGCGCCGGAAAGAGCCTCTCGGCGCTAACCGGAAGAAAGAGAGAGAAAGCCGCAAGACGAGGAAAATGAAAAGCGCTGCGCGGCGATATCGCTCGAACGTTTTTCTCTCCCCCGGGGACCAAGATGGCCGGGAGAGTCTCGCGAGTCGCTCGCGCGACACTCGGGACGATTAATCGGGACGATTTATCACGCGCTTTCCCGCGCCGCGCATTAGCGATTCATTCCGCTGGCTGCACATTTTCAAAAGCCGCTCCCCCGCCCCGCGCGCGCGCGCGCGCCGTTTAACCCCGGCGCGCTGCATCTGCATGCTCCGAAAGTCGCCGGGAGCCTATTAAAAACTCGCGGCCCCCGTCGTAAAGTCTGCCGCCTCCTCGCCGCCGCCGAAATACCAGAGTCGTTACGACGCGCGGCCCGCCGGGCGATCGCTTTCCGATACGAAACTACCGGATTCGCGCGGAACGACTATAATCCGCGAAGCACGCGCGTCGGCGCGACACGGAGCAAGAGAGAGAAAGAGAGAGAGAGAGAGAGCGCTGCAGCACGGAAAAATCAACGCGGCAGCGGCGTTAGCCCTCGTGACAGCGTCTATTACTTGTTGCTTCTCTCGTCTCGGGCCGATGTTTATATTCCTCCTTTGTGCGGCAGCGACGGCGCGGCGGCGTGAAGCGTCGCGCAAAAACGCGCGAGGCGCTCCCTTTGAGCGAGCGACTCGTACACTCGCTCGAGGATCCACTTCCCTCGCGGCAACCCCCGTCGGCGGGCGAAGTAATTCGCAACGCGGCGAAAATGAAGTACGGCCGCGAGTCGATGAACGGCTCCCGGGCGGCCGAAGATCGCGCGCTCTCTCGGCCGCGCGATCGTAAAGCGCTACGTCCGGCCGTGTGTGCGAAGTCGAATCGCGATTTGCAAGTATTACCGGGGCGAAGGCAACCCCGGGAGCTGGAGCGCAGCGCTCGTTGGGACTGGCAGAGAGGGAGGGAGACCTCGCGCCGCTGAGGCTCAGGGTGCTCTTCGGTCTCGACTGTCGTCTCCTCCCGTCGCTCGAATTGAAGCAGTAGCAGATGCGACGTACTTTTATAGTTGTATAGTTGCAGCAGGGGTGTAATAATGGCTTGTTGCAAAAGCGCCAGCCTTGACTGTGTAATTCTGCCACGGTGCGGTTGCAGGTAGCAGCAGGCACCCTTTTCTCTGTCAGACCGCTCCGGTCTCCGCTCCGGCGCGGCTTACCGGCGGCGGCGATTTATGCGCCGATGAGTGCAATGTGCGTCTCCTTTGAGCTGCTTTGAGTCACCCTGGCGAATTTGAGGGAGGAGATCCGGAGAGATCACGCGGGGGCGTCGAGTTTTTCCAAACGGAAAAGCGATTCGAGGCCCATCGGGGGAATCGCGGTGGCTGCTTCGAACTGGCCGAGAGGCTGGACGCTTCGCGATTCGGCTATTAGGGGTGAAACGCGGTCGCGAGGGGCGGGCATTTTAACGGCTGAAATTGGGAGAGCGCGTTAGCGCGTTCGGCTAAGGTGGCGAACGTCCCCCGGATTCCTCGGTGTAAAGTTTCGCCGGGAAAGTGCAGTGACGCTGCCGAGCCACTCGGGGCCGAACGAGGCTTTTCATTCATACGGAGCGAATTCGGAAAAGTGAGTCTGATTTTGCTCCGTCGTTGTTAGAAGAAATATATTCCGGTTGAAAGTCGTCCGCTCGTATGGGATAAGAACTTGCTCAAAGTTCGGTGCGCTTACTTTCGATTTCGAGTAGCAGTGCTTTCACCGTCGCTTCGGGCGGACTCGCACACGTTCCGAGTGAGACTCGCTCCGGGGAATTTAAACCACTGTCGTTACTCAAAGCTCCTGTGTAAGTTCTTGAGGTCTCAATTTAAAGTCAGATCCATTCGATTAAATCAAACGGCAACCGCGACTTTAGATCCATAATTGCAGCTCGATCGAGAAATCCGCATCCGACTTGAGACTCGAGTCTGAGCGCCTCATATGAGACAAGATTCAGATATCGGCAATTAATTTTCGAGCCTCGATGAGTTCCAAAGTATTCGAATTTGGGAGAATTTTAGGTCCGACTCGTTCGATTAAATTAAACGATATTACATCCAACCGCAGCTCGATTGAGAAATCCGCATCCAATCCGAGCCTCGAGTCTAAGCGTCTCATATAAGACAAGATTCAAGTATCGCCAATCAATGTGCGAGCTTCCAAAGTATTCAAATTTAGAGGAATTTTAGATCCGACTCGTTCGATCAAATCAAACGACATCCGCGATATTATATCTATAATTGCAACTCAATTGAGAAATTTTCATCCTCGAGTCTCAAATCCGAGCGTCTCATGCTAGACAAGATTCAAATATCGGCAATCAATGAGCGAGCCTTGATGAGTTCTAAGATACTCAAGTTTGGAAGAATCTTAGATCCGACTCGTTCGATCGAATCAAACGACAGCCGCGACATTATATCCATAATTGCAACTCAATTGAGAAATTTTCATCCTCGAGTCTCAAATCCGAGCGTCTCATGCGAGACAAGATTCAAGTATCGGCAATCAATGAGCGAACCTGATGATTTCTAAAATACTCAAATTTAGAGGAATATTAGATCCGACTCGTTCGATCAAATCAAACGACATCCGCGACATTATATCTATAATTGCAACTCAATTGAGAAATTTTCATCCTCGAGTCTCAAATCCGAGCGTCTCATGCGAGACAAGATTCAAGTATCGGCAATCAATGAGCGAACCTGATGATTTCTAAAATACTCAAATTTAGAGGAATATTAGATCCGACTCGTTCGATCAAATCAAACGACATCCGCGACATTATATCCATAATTGCAACTCAATTGAGAAATTTTCATCCTCGAGTCTCAAATCCGAGCGTCTCATGCGAGACAAGATTCAAGTATCGGCAATCAATGAGCGAACCTTGATGATTTCTAAAATACTCAAATTTGGAAGAATCTTAGATCCGACTCGTTCGATCGAATCAAACGACAGCCGCGACATTACATCTATAATTGAAACTCAATTAAGAAATTTTCATCCGACCCAAGCCTCAAATCCGAGCGTCTCTTGTGAGACAAGATTCAAATATCGGCAATCAATGAGCGAGCCTTGATGAGTTCTAAGATACTCAAGTTTGGAGGAATTTTAAATTCGGCACGTTCGATTAAATCAAACGACATTACATCCAACCGCAGCTCAATTGAGAAATCCGCATCCCACTCGAGCTTGGAATCCGAACGTCTCATATAAGACAAGATTCAAGTAACGATCAATCGGTAGATAACAAGCCTCGGAGAGTTCTCAAGTATCTTCTCGCGCGTTAAGCCGTCATTTGTTTCCGCCGGCGCGATTGTCTTAACCGACGTTCGAGCTAACGAGCCGACGAATCGAGTTTCGGCGCGGCGACGATATCAAACGCCGCTAATCAAGGAAATCCCCGCTGCCGCCGTGGCTACACATCTGTGCTTCCTCTGCCGATTTCTCGGCGCGCGCTGAGCGCGTATTTGACTGCGATTCGCGATGAGACGCCATTACACGCGATTGATTTCTGATCGGCAATTTTCATCGTGGACGATGATCGATTCAACCGCAGCCTCCGCCTCCGCGACGGCACCCCGGCGGGTAACAATCGTATCATCGCGTCAGCGCGCGGAACGTCGCGCTGAAAGTGCGCGCTGTTATCTCCCGGCGAATCGCCAACCTCGCGCTTCCGACTATCCGCCGCGTTTATTAGCCACGAATCGTTAGTCGTGACATTCGCGCGACCCCGCGATAGCCTCGACGAGAAGAAGGAGATCGCGCGGCCTCGGCGTGTCGCGGAACGGAAAACGCCGCCGCGTCGGCCGCGCTCAGATTACGCCGCCCCGGGGCGCCCGCCGTTGCGCCGCGTTAATTAATAATGCCGCGCTATCTCTTTAAACGGCGATGCTGGAATGCATTAATCATGACAGCGGCACCGGATTAATAATTGCTACTTCGTTGCGCGAGACGAAACGTCACATCCGCTGGAACATTTTCGCCAGATAAAACGTTAATTAATTATCGCGCCGCGCTCGAG